GTTTCTCATTAAAACAAATCCCAACTTTGGGATCCGATTGTAATATATTCCAATGCTGGTGTACAATATGTTTAATCTCCTTCGAATGTTCAGAATAGGTGGTAACACATGGGATCCTCATGTTCCTATCCCTAACTCTTTTAGTTAGAAGTTGTTCCCTTGCCAACAATCTAGCCTGATCCTTGCATTCCATCAAAATCTTCTTCTCATAACCCCTTAAGGTAAATGCCTGTACTAATTCGTCTGCCCGTCTATCATAATCTGTGTCCCGTGATGTAATTCGTCGGGTTCTAATAAATTGTCCATATGGTAATTTTTGCAAAAATTGTGGTGGATGGAAGCTATCAGCATGTAAATATGACACACGGTCAGTAGGCTTCTGATAGAGATCAAAGCTCAATTGTCCTCCACTTACCTCCATAGATACATCCAAAAAATGCATTTGATGCCTATTATATTCTATAGTGAAAGATATCGTGTCCAATTTATTATCCAATCTCTCCTTAAAGCAGAGCAGCTCATCAACCGTACCTGTCCAAAAAAAGAAGATGTCATCTATGTAGCGTACCCAATTCAACACAAATTTGATAAAAAGTGGATCAGGGTATACAAATGCATCCTCAAATGCTGCCATAAAAATATTGGCATATGTGGGGGCCACATTGGACCCCATCGCAGTACCCTGTACCTGCAAGTAAAACTTGCCTTCAAACGTGAAATAATTCTTATGCAATACCAGTGTCAATAACTCCAACAAAAAGTCTCTATATGCTTCACTAATTTCCAGAGCTTGCATCGCTCCAAATACTGCCTCAATGCCTTCCTCATGCGGGATAGACGTATAGAGACTATTAATGTCCATAGTGCATAGAAATGCTCCTTCAGGAATAATACTCACACTTTCTAGTTTCTTAATGAAATCTGTCGTATCCTGCACAAATGAGCGCATATTAGAGACCAAAGATTGCAAGTGTATATCAACAAATTTGGATAGTGGTTGCAAAACCGATCCACATCCTGACACTATAGGACGACCAGGTGGACACCTCAAATTCTTATGTATCTTCGGGAGCAGGTAAATAAAAGGGATCTTAGGGTGTTCCGTATTCAAAAAATTAAAATCCCTTTTCTCAATTAACTCTTTCTCCAAAGCCACACCCGTAATTACCTTAATTCGTTCCTTTAACTCACCTGTAGGATCTTGCTCCAAGATTCTATAATGGCTTTCATTAGTCAATTGGCGATTCATTTCAGCCACATATTCACTCGTGTTCATCACGACCAAAGCTCCTCCCTTATCAGCAGGTCTGATAGAGATGGTAGTATCCTTTCGTAGTCCCATAAGTGTAGCATATTCATGCCTACTCAAATTCGACCTTCCCTTCTTTTTCCAATTAATTTTATCCATGTCCATTTGACATAATTTAATGAATGTTTCAACACTCGCATTGATGGAAGGAGGAAGGAACATGCTCTTAGGTTTACACTTGTGCCTGTCAAATTTGGAAGACTCAGCCATATTAACCCCTTCTTGAACTATAGGGGTATCCTGTAACTGAAAAAAACTTTTTAAGCGTATTGTCCGAAAAAAACGTTCCATCTCTATATCCATAGTGAGCTTATCCCCACTAAAGGTGGGTACAAACCCAAAACCTTTTTCCAAAAGACTCACCACGGCTTGAGATAAAACTCTATCAGAAATATTCACTACCAATGTTTCCGCTGTTGTCTCATGCGTCCCGGATATCTCCTCTTGGGTTCGGTCACAATTGGAACCACTCTGTGTACCTCTCCTCGGCCTCTTGCCACGTCTCCTCTTGGATGTTCCCCTAAAAAAACACTTTTTCCAAATTCAGATTCCCCAGAAGACACCTCAGGACCCGACACACTAGTATCCGAATTGTCTTGTTTACGCCTTTGAAAATAACGCCCAGGACGCGATTGCCGCCAAGTATACACTTTATCCTCCAAATAATCTACAGTATCCCTCCGAAATTTATCCAATTTCTTCTCTAGAATCTCTTCTCTATATTTAGGTAATTTAGCCGATATTGTGGCAAGCTTCCCTTCAACAATCACCTTATCCTCAACTTCAGCCAATTTCTGCTTCGTATTAGAAAGCGATTTCTCAAATTCTGATAACTCTTGCTGCAAACCTTCCACTGTTAGCGTTATAAGGTCCAAACTACATTTATTCAATATATGAAGCTTGCCACAATATCGGCTAAATTACCTAAATATAGAGAAGAGATTCTAGAGAAGAAATTGGATAAATTTCGGAGGGATACTGTAGATTATTTGGAGGATAAAGTGTATACTTGGCGGCAATCGCGTCCTGGGCGTTATTTTCAAAGGCGTAAACAAGACAATTCGGATACTAGTGTGTCGGGTCCTGAGGTGTCTTCTGGGGAATCTGAATTTGGAAAAAGTGTTTTTTTAGGGTAACATCCAAGAGGAGACGTGGCAAGAGGCCGAGGAGAGGTACACAGAGTGGTTCCAATTGTGACCGAACCCAAGAGGAGATATCCGGGACGCATGAGACAACAGCGGAAACATTGGTAGTGAATATTTCTGATAGAGTTTTATCTCAAGCCGTGGTGAGTCTTTTGGAAAAAGGTTTTGGGTTTGTACCCACCTTTAGTGGGGATAAGCTCACTATGGATATAGAGATGGAACGTTTTTTTCGGACAATACGCTTAAAAAGTTTTTTTCAGTTACAGGATACCCCTATAGTTCAAGAAGGGGTTAATATGGCTGAGTCTTCCAAATTTGACAGGCACAAGTGTAAACCTAAAAGCACGTTCCTTCCTCCTTCCATTAATGCGAGTGTTGAAACATTCATTAAATTATGTCAAATGGACATGGATAAAATTAATTGGAAAAAGAAGGGAAGGTCGAATTTGAGTAGGCATGAATATGCTACACTTATGGGACTACGAAAGGATACTACCATCTCTATCAGACCTGCTGATAAGGGAGGAGCTTTGGTCGTGATGAACACGAGTGAATATGTGGCTGAAATGAATCGCCAATTGACTAATGAAAGCCATTATAGAATCTTGGAGCAAGATCCTACAGGTGAGTTAAAGGAACGAATTAAGGTAATTACGGGTGTGGCTTTGGAGAAAGAGTTAATTGAGAAAAGGGATTTTAATTTTTTGAATACGGAACACCCTAAGATCCCTTTTATTTACCTGCTCCCGAAGATACATAAGAATTTGAGGTGTCCACCTGGTCGTCCTATAGTGTCAGGATGTGGATCGGTTTTGCAACCACTATCCAAATTTGTTGATATACACTTGCAATCTTTGGTCTCTAATATGCGCTCATTTGTGCAGGATACGACAGATTTCATTAAGAAACTAGAAAGTGTGAGTATTATTCCTGAAGGAGCATTTCTATGCACTATGGACATTAATAGTCTCTATACGTCTATCCCGCATGAGGAAGGCATTGAGGCAGTATTTGGAGCGATGCAAGCTCTGGAAATTAGTGAAGCATATAGAGACTTTTTGTTGGAGTTATTGACACTGGTATTGCATAAGAATTATTTCACGTTTGAAGGCAAGTTTTACTTGCAGGTACAGGGTACTGCGATGGGGTCCAATGTGGCCCCCACATATGCCAATATTTTTATGGCAGCATTTGAGGATGCATTTGTATACCCTGATCCACTTTTTATCAAATTTGTGTTGAATTGGGTACGCTACATAGATGACATCTTCTTTTTTTGGACAGGTACGGTTGATGAGCTGCTCTGCTTTAAGGAGAGATTGGATAATAAATTGGACACGATATCTTTCACTATAGAATATAATAGGCATCAAATGCATTTTTTGGATGTATCTATGGAGGTAAGTGGAGGACAATTGAGCTTTGATCTCTATCAGAAGCCTACTGACCGTGTGTCATATTTACATGCTGATAGCTTCCATCCACCACAATTTTTGCAAAAATTACCATATGGACAATTTATTAGAACCCGACGAATTACATCACGGGACACAGATTATGATAGACGGGCAGACGAATTAGTACAGGCATTTACCGTAAGGGGTTATGAGAAGAAGATTTTGATGGAATGCAAGGATCAGGCTAGATTGTTGGCAAGGGAACAACTTCTAACTAAAAGAGTTAGGGATAGGAACATGAGGATCCCATGTGTTACCACCTATTCTGAACATTCGAAGGAGATTAAACATATTGTACACCAGCATTGGAATATATTACAATCGGATCCCAAAGTTAGGATTTGTTTTAATGAGAAACCTTTGTTTTCTTTCAAGAGGCACAGAAATCTTCGCGATCATTTAATGCGGAATGTGGAAGTCCAAGGAAAGATGGGGATTAAGGAATCGTGGCTTAGAATGCCTGTTGGTATGTACAGATGTGGACATTGTGTGAATTGTAATGGGGTAATTCTGGGTGATTCCTTTTTCCATCCTAGGTCTGGGAAGAAATATCCCATTCGGGATTTTTGCAATTGTCAATCAGAATTTGTAGTCTACATGTTAAAATGCCCTTGTGGCTTAGTCTATGTTGGGGAAACCACGAGGAAATTCACCATTAGGATAGGGGAACATAAGAGTAGTATTCGGACTGGAAAGATTCAATATCCAGTGGCTAGACATTTTGTGGAGATGCGACATATGGTGTCACAATTAAGATACTCGATTTTAGAGGTAGTGAAACCTCTGAGTAGAGGTGGATCTAGGGAAATGTTGTTGAAGCAGCGTGAATTATTTTGGATTTATGAATTGCAGGTTCTATTCCCTAAGGGTCTGAACGAAGAACGGGATCTCTCTCCTTTATTGTAGCCTCATGTGGAGAAGTTGACTTATCCACCCTGCCTGAGTAGTGTTTGTATCATTGATATTGTTTTTAATTGATGTTTATTTTGTCTAGATTGCGTATGGAATTCCATTTGGATACTTAATATAATGGGTACTCGGTTGATAGTGTGTACTAGATCAAAGATGGAGTGCAATCTCTTTTGTGGATATTGATCTCATTGGTATGTCCGACAAGGTGAATGGATATAATCTGGATCTGGACTTATTTTTTGGATCTACGATTGGACGACGAAGATTTGATCTATTGGATACCTTCATATCTTTGATTGTTTTTGATTTGTATATGTTTGTGAATGAATACTTGTTAACATTTAAGAAGAAGCTTTCCATTATTAAAATGCTGTATAATTAACAAGGTGAACTGATATTGACATAAGGATTACATGTATAAAGCTTGAGTGAAGGAACATATATAACTATCTACTACATATGATGGATGGATTCTCTAGTATTGAGTTTCCCCTTTTCTTGGGGATGACCTGATCGTTCAGCAAGTTGCTGAATGTATGTTCTGTATATATGATATGGATGAATAAGCATTAGTTTAGTATAGTACACTATTTTTTTGGTGTTTTGCTATTATGGTGGAGGTGATTTTCACTGTCAATATTTATGTATAATTTTTGACGAATTTATGCTATACTATGAGACTATTAATATGCACATCATGATAAATTATCATAGATTTTTGCATTTGTGCGATTTCCCTTTAAGATTTGGTGGGCGTGCTATCATATTGTTCTCTATCTTTGGGGAAACGCATGCGCGGGCGGGTTAGCCCTCTATTTGAAGTGACTCTCTGTTAAGTGTGAACCACGGAGGCTTCCGTTAGAGGGGAGCTGGGAAGAAATCAATTGGTTGTGGCAAGATGAGTGCGCTTTTTCCTTTTTTGGTTAAGTTAGTGCACACATGATGTTGCTATGCCTAGTGAGCTTGCTGGGTTGCCTGCTGGGGGATGTGTTTCCTCGTTGGGGAGTATGGAGTGTGCCAATGGATGGATGCCAGGAGATGGTATGGCGACCGTCTACACTTATTTGCATTGCGCATGCGCGTTTATATTTATGTCTACGAGGACAATGATGGAGTACACATTGATAGGAGATCTTTATACCAATGATAGAATTGATCTGGGAACAATATGGTGTATGTATAATGTATTTATCATTATTGTGCTTTATATATAGGGCTATGATCCGAAGTGATGATGTCACTTCCGGTCTCGGCTCTTTGTGACATCACTGATGGCCATCAGCTGTAAGTAGTTTGTTTATGTGTATATAATAGTCTCTTGGATGATGTTGTGATATAGCTACCCTTGATAAAGGCTACCAGGAGGAGCCGAAACGTTGGGGGATTGTTTGTGACTCGTGTTTCTGCCCTTATAGGCTTGTCGAATTTGGTAAATATACTGTTTAAACTTTTTTGCCTTTTTTGGTCACTGTTACATTTTATATGTAAGATTTGGATTTGTATTATAATAAATATATTTAGATATATATTATTGTGTTAGTTGGTGTGCATTCCTTTCTTTTTTTTTTCTTTTTTTTTGTTTTGAACAAATGAAAATGGAAACTACGCACTTACCAACTGTGTATGAAGCTGCGTTACTTAACCCAGACCAAACACTGTTTGTGGACGGCTCAAGATTCGCTGATGAACAGGGACAATATCACACTGGGTATGCAGTCACCATCGGATGTCAAGTATTACAAGCAGCTGCCCTTCAACCAACCAAGTCAGCCCAAGAAGCCGAGCTAACAGCCTTGACTGTGGCCTGCAAATTGTCCGAAGGCCTACGTGTTAATATCTATACAGATTCAAGATATGCCCTGGGAGTGGCACATGATTTTGGAAAACAAGAGGATTTCTTACAGCTACCGGTACCCCAGTGAAACACGGGGCAGCCATTGCAGAACTGATGGATGCTTTAGAACTTCCAGCGGAGGTGGCGGTATTAAAGGTAAAAGCCCACGGAAGACTAGACACAGAAGAAGCAAGAGGCAACCACTTAGCTGATCAGGCAGCTAAGGAAGCAGCACGACAAGGATGGGAAGTGGACAGAAGAGTGGCCACAGATACAGTACCCATCTACACTATGCAGACATTGCCTACAGATCTTAGGCTTCTGAAGGAACAACAAGCTGTTGCTACTCCCCAGGAGAAACAAAGTTGGAAGAACAAAGGAGCTGTACTCCATGATGATGTTTACACTATCAATCTCAAGTTTTGCCTACCCAGAAATATGTACCCAGC